TTGGTTCACTAATAATCGTCCAAACAATGGACCGAATCGTTATCGTAAGTAGTTTGACGATTCTACTATTTCAGTCGTTAATCTTTCGATTCTGGGATGGTGAGGTTACTGTAAAATCCGGATATCATATGGTGGTTGAGTTAAGATGGGGAAACGAGTTAAAGGCGAAGGCTATATATAGCTCATGTGTGGGATCACAACCTTTGGAAAAGGATTTGTGGCACTCTGGCGCGTGATAGGATCTCACACGTCGTAGAACTCGAGCTTCTCAATGAACGAACTAAGGAATGCGATAAAGAAGACCTAATTTACTACTAATACTAGACTTTATTATTCGAATGCATAAAACGAAGAGCAAATGTACATATTTATAGAACTAGTCCTACAAACTCCTTTCCCCCAAAGACAAGGAAACACAATCCCAAACGTACTAGTAAACAATTACTTCCCAAACAAGAGATAATAAATAATAATCCTAGACCCAAACTAATACAAATAACCAAATAATAACCGAATATCGCGAATGATAATTAATACGAAAGACAAATAATAATACTAATAGTAATCTCATGTGGCCAGTGGTGCTATAATGCACCAAAACCCCCCTCTTTAAACAACCTTGTCCCTGAGGTTGCCTTCTGCTTCCGCTCCTTCGCCATCTTCCTCCTTCAAATCTCCAATCATGAAGAAGACGTTTGCATTTGCACATCGAAGCCCATATGTGAACCTCTCGTTGCAATCGTAACACAATCTGTCGCGTCGACGTCTAGCAGCTTCTTCTAGTGACACGTTGCGAATGATGCGTCATGGTGGAGGTGGTGGAGCTCGTCCCGGTGCTGGCACCGCAGGTGGAGCAACTGGTGGCAGCGCCAAAGCCGCGTTGGTGGTGGTGAAGCCAGCTCGCAGCACGCTCCTCGTTGCTCCCTTCTCTAGTCGCAACACTTCTTTGCGTATCTTGACCAGTCGATACGCCTCTCCAGTTGTTTGGGGATTGAAAGCTCGAATGTAGGCGGATATCTCTGGCTTCAATCCACCCATGTATGACCCTATAATTGCAACCTTGGTCCAACCGTGGCAACGATTCAACAACTTCTCAAAGGTATGTTGATATTCGTCAACGGATCTAGTTTGACGAATTTTGGACAATGCCTCATGTCCAGACGACTTCTCCGATGATCGATACCTTTTCCATAACTTGACGCATAGGCTGCTCAAAGTCATTATCACCCCATTCTTTGAGAACTCTTCCTTCAACCACATGATCCACTGGTTCATGTCGCCAGCCATATGGTAAGTCGCTAGTGCTACTTTCTGATCCTCTGGAATGCACTGGTAGCGAAAAAATTTCTCAATGCGCGAGACCCATCCCGATGGATCCTCTCTACCCGTGAATTTTGGAAACTCGAGCGGAGCGATTCGTGCCTGGAACATGGCTCAACCCAGCTATAACACCTTAGGAGAATCCCACATCGACAAAGCACGAGAGAGATCCATGATTCATAAGTAAGAAACCGACCTTAACTGACAAGACGCGTTTTGGGGTGAAACAAAGGAGTTCTTGTGAGAACTTTGAAGTTAAACGTGCTCAGTGTGGAGTACAACAAGGATGAGTGACCTTATGGGAAGTCACCCTGAATTGCAACCCAAGTCAAAATCCGTGCGGGTGTAGAGGCCCAAAGCGGACAGTATCTTGTCGGGAAAAGGTTCTGGATGTTACAAGTGGTATCAGAGCCTCTCCGCGTCCCTCTTGAATGATGGTGGGGCAAACCTCAACGAGGGCGTTGAGTCCCAAGGGGGGTGTATGTAACACCTTAGGCGAATCCCACATCGACAAAGCACGGGAGAGATCCATGGTTCATTAGTAAGAAACCGACCTTAACTGACAATACGCATTTTGGGGGGAAACGGAGGAGTTCTTGTGAGAACTCTAAAGTTAAACGTGCTCAGTGTGGAGTACAACAAGGATGGGTGGCCTTATGGGAAGTACCCTGAATTGCACCTCAAGTCGAAATCCGTGCCGGTGTAGAGGCCCAAAGCGGACAATATCTTGTCGGAAAAAGGTTCGGGATGTTACACCAGCTTCTCGTAGTGTCCCGCATGGACCATGGGTTGGACGAACCCAATTGGTTCGCCCGAGTATGGTTCGATGGGTCCATTGGATTTGACTCAGCCCATCGATGGTTCGCCTCGTCCCAGATGGCAGACACTAGCCTTGACCCGACCCAACCTTCTCTTGCTCTTGCCACGGCCCACGAACTTCCCGGCCCAAGCGATCGATGTACCCTTGGGCCTCTGTAGTTGAGACTCATCATGCCAAAATGAAAGCTCGGCCCGTTCGCGCTTGAACCCGTCGGCCCGCTGAACCCACCTGCTCCTCCGACCCATGACTCTGTGATGCCTGGTCTGCCAGCTCCCATTTTCGGGCCAGTTGGACCATCTTCAGCTCGGCCTTCCTCATTCGCTCCCGCCCCAACTCCGTAAAGCAGAGTCCCGATGAGCCCTCCGATCAGACCCGCGTTCCACCCTGCACGACGATCCGTTCCTCCTCACTAGGAATGGCGAGGTTTCCCCAGCCCTGTCCGACGAGGATTCCTTGACCAGCTCCTTCCGCGCGCATTGCCTCCCGTCGCGCATCCTCCTCTCGACTCATCTTGCAAGTGGAGGCGCCTTACTTCTTCTTCTTCTTTTTCTTCCTCTTCTTCTTCGGCATTACCTCATGCTCCAGTTCTTGGGCGAGAGAGACTCCAAATCTCCAACGGCTCCCTTCATCTTCTCTCCTAGCGAAATCTGATTGGTGGTGCGACCCCCTTTTCGCAGTGACGTGCTCTGACACCCTTGATGACTCTGTCGCCTTCTTTCCCAAAGGTAGATCTCAAAGAATGACCAAGATATAGCTAAACATCATTAGCTAGGCGATTCTGATCAACGCGCATGACATTGATTTCCTCTTGTAAACGATCATGCCCCTCCTGGAACTTCTTATGGCCGCGTTGGAGTTGTCCTACGTCGACGCGCAAGTGCTCCAAACTAGCTTCGTGTTCGCGGTTGAGGACGTCTTGGGCTTCAATCCTAGACTAGATCGCGTGTTGGTGGCCGACGAGGGCTTGGATTTGTTGCCCTAGCTCATTGTCACCGCCGACTTCTAGTGATGATGGCGTCGTTGGTGGCTTGCGGGGCGTCATCGTCCCCTGGCTTGATCCTGAATGATAATTAATACGAAAGACAAATAATAATACTAATAATAATCCCATGTGGGCGCCCGACGGTGCTATAATGCACCACACTCCAATACTTCCCAATCTGCGGTACTTCATATGACAACTAGTCTGTGGTGTCTTACCAAATGGTGCAGGTTGCTTGAGTGGCGAGACCTATATCAGACCGTGTTGACGAGGATTGTGGCGTGTTTGGCGTGCTCGGAATTGAGTCATTTTTTTATTTATGCAGTTCATTGTTCCTGCTTTGCTCTATCAGTTTCTTTCGCAAGTTGCGGAGTGGGATGCCATTGTTGACAACCAACGACATCCTCTTCCTCCCCTAGGGGGCCCAGCCCCACGAACAGGGAGGTTGTGCGACTTGGGGAGCTAGTTATGTTTGTGATGGGGCCACACTGAGTGGATTCCATGGAGCTGGAGGATGGGTTTTGCAGGATCCGACAAACATGGTGGTGGTGGCATCAGCATCGTTATATGTTGGGATTCCAGACCCGTCTCTAGTGGAGCTGTTGGCCTTCCGTGATGCGGTACGATGGTGCCTGGCACGAGATTACATTCAGTCGTCTTTGCTGGCGATGCCCAAGTTATAATTAGAAAGATCCTAGAGGGCGAGGTCGACGATGTTCTGGGTGGCACGGTCTTGGAAGATATTTGTTCTAGGTGATTAACATTCATTTTATTGGTCGGGGATGTAAGAGGATTGCCCATTTGGTGGCAAAAAAAAAGCCATTTGATATTCACTTCTTCAGTAGTGGTTGATTTTTTTTTGACGGTTTTCAGCTGAATAACACTTTGTATCTAGCTGTTTTTTCGGTAATGCAAGTGGTGTTTTGGAAAAAAAAATTTGTTTCATCTCGACTAAAATTTCAATTACTGTCAACAAAATAAAATTTTAATTTCAGTTACGGTCATTTTTGGCAGAAAATGATTTCATTTACTTTCTTTCATTTTTCTCCATGGAAACTTCGTAAAAGGGAAGGAAACAAATTTCGGGAGAAGGGTTCTCTCGGCCTGGATTTAGGAAAGAGTTTAATTACAATGACAACTCAACTCTTTCTTCTTTACTGGAATTACGATTCTTAATTTCAGTAAATCCTATAAGAAATTACATTTTTTTTTGGTCATTAATGGGGGAGATAATTCATAATTCAGATTTGCTGCGACCTGCGAGAAAAGAAAGGGTGCTTTACAATTTAAACACGTTTTACTCAATGATGCGCTTTGATCGGAGATTAACAATAAGAAAATCAACACCCAACTAATAATAGTAAAAATAAATATTTAATTTTCAATCGAATTTCCAAGTCCAAGTTTTAGGCAGAAATCAAGGGGCACTTCTTCTCCCCAGAATCCGCTCCTGCTGCCATCACTCTCCCGCCCTTAGTTCTAATAATAATAATAATAATCATATAAATATATTAATTACAATTAACGTGTCCTGAATTACTATTACTACTAATTCCATATTTTCATTCCCATAAAAAATCAAATTACTAACATTTTCTGTTTTTAAATTAAACAGATTATTAATTGAAAAAAACAGCTCACAGGATTTAATGTTAAATGCTATTTAATTCGTTTATTTTCCTGCCGAAAAATGCAATCTGGACGACAGAAATCCCAACGCGGGTTCGATCCAACGGCCAAGAACCGTTCACGTCCTTTTTCGGAAAAAACCATAAAACAAAAAGAAACTCTAACCTATATAAAATATTAAAAAAGAATTTCTTTATCGAAGAAAGAAATCTCCCTCCTCGGGGAAAATTAAATTAAATTAAAATTCTTTTTTTCTCCTTCTCTCTCTTTCTAGCTTTCTCGAAAAGAAAAATTTGAAAGAAAAAGAAAAAAAAGGAGAGATGGAACCAGACGATACCCCTCACCACCACCATCACCACCACCACCACCACCACTCTCTCACTCCATCTTACTACTCCACCTCAGCACAACCCACCGGCAACAATCCCAACGCCGGCGGCGGGCCTGCTTCCTCATCCGCCGGTGCAATTACTCATTCTCCGACCAATGGTCTCCTGCCTCCCCCGCCAAACAGCAGCGGTGGCTCCGACTCGGCCTCCGCTCATCACATGGTCTACCCTCACTCCGTAGGCCCCTCCTCGGCCGCAGTGTCTCAGGCGCCGGTCGATCCGGTCAGGAGGAAGAGGGGCAGGCCGAGGAAGTACGGGACTCCCGAGCAAGCTTTGGCGGCCAAGAGGACGGCGGCGGCTTCCTCTGCTTCCAGTGCTAGGGAGAAGAGGGAGAGCGGCGGTTCTGCTTCGTATCCTGGCTTCTCGAAGAAGTCCCACCACCACTTGGGTACTCCCGGTTCGTTTCTTTTTTCCTTCCCCCCCATCCAATTTTGCGATTTCTTTATTATCCTATCCTCCTCCTCATCTGTATTTTATTATTAATTACAGTTTTTTCCGTTTCGCTTTCTCTCAATTTGGTTATTCAATTGGCTTTCCCTTTTGGCATTGGATTCATTCGGCTTTCTCTCTGAGTATAATCTGAATCTCTGTTCGTTTGTTCAACTTGCGCAAGTCTTGCTCTGATTCGATTGATTTTGGTCGGTGTTTCGTTTTTTGTTTGATGAGGGAGTTTTCTTTGTTCTCTTTTGTTGTACGTCTGTTCTGGGATTGCCTATCCAGGTTGATGGGGTGCTAATTTGGCAGACTATTCATTTTTCCTTTGTGGCTTTCCGTTTCTTGGATCCCGGATTCCTGGTTTTGAGCATTGTTCTCTGTAAATGAAAAATATGTAGCAAAGAAATCGTCAGGATCGGTTTGCAAACTGGTTTCTGTTGGCATATGTAACGGTTTTGTCTCTCTCTCTATGTTCTTGAAAGCCTTTTTCCCTTCGTACTGGAATTAAGCATGGTTCTTTATTTGCATCTCTGTGCATTCGTGGTGATCTTCCAATTGGGTTGCTTTTTTCTAGTTTCAGGGAGACCGTTGTGTAGTTAAATCTGTTTAAGGTGATAGGATTGCCAACTTAGTCGGTAAATTCACTCTTGTCTTCAAGAATGTGTGCACGAATTTAAACGGCGATTTTCGCGCTTCATTTGATGTGAACGTTATCGTCGAGTTTTCGCGCTTTTTTTTTAAACAAGTAGCTTTGAGTATGTGCCTAGGGTTCCTTTTGTGTTGTTTTCCAGCATAGTTTCTTAGAATCCTTCCCTTTGAATACAATGAAGCTTCGAGGTTTCTGGTAGAGTAGTGCTGATGTTTGGCTTTGGATACAATGATGCATATTATCTGCGGCATTATGTTTTCTCTTGAAGTTCTTATTTGCTTTCGATTTTTTTTTTTCACTTGGGAAGGCTTTACATGCTCAAATTCTGTCAGCTGAGTATTTTTGTACCTTTATTGTTGATTACCATAATGCCAAATATTTCCACATAACCAGATTCTACTGATTGATTTGAATGAACTTTGTTGCTTGAATTGTTTGTTAATTTGAAAATCTGCAAAAAAAACAAAAAAAAGAACTCTTTACTGCTGAGCAAGTATCACTAGACTGTTTGATGTGGTGTATCAGAAGGTCGGATAGTCTTCGGCTCATTCAACCTTATACATGACTGACTTAATGTCTATGATGATTCGCGTTGACCTTGTTTGCGCGACTACACATTTTGAAAGCCTTTGAAATTAAAAAATTAGTTGAATCGATTATTTGGGTGAATGGAAGTGATTTTTCGGAAAGTTTGACTCTTTGTTGACCCCATAGTCTAAAATAGACTAAAAATAGATTGAGCGTGCTTTCGTACTTTCCTCTTCAAGAATGTGTAGGGTATCAACGGATGATTTTAGACGTGATGTATCATCGTTGTTTTTTTTATTGAATGCAACCATTAGTGGCATACAGAAAGATAACTTTGAGTATGTGCCCAGGGTTTTCTATTTCTTTCTTTCTTCTTGTTTTCCTGCTTTGATTTATAGATTCCTTTTCTTTGATTACAATGAAGCTCTGAGGTCTCTTGTCGAGAAGTGCTAATGTTTGGCTCTCGCTACTGTGTATATTGTCTGTGTCAGCTCATATTTTCTTATTTTTTGTTTGCATTTTTGGAGAATTCATAAGCTAATATTTTTCTGTTATGTTTAGGACTGTTCACCCTTTTTAAGCCTTTGCTCGGATTTTTTCTCGAGTTCCTTACCCTGCAAAACTGTAAAAAAAAAAGCTCTCTAAGCTAAGCAAGTATCACTAAAGTGTTTGATACGGCGGGAGGTCGGATAGTCTTTGGCTCATCTAACCTTGAATGATTGAAGTTAATGTCTTGAATGATTCACACTGACTTTTTTTTTTGGTGAAAATCGTAATGACCTTCTTTGCGTGACTACAATTTTTAAAAGCCAATAAAATCCCAAATTAGGAGAATCGTTTGTGCTGGATTGAAGCGGTTATTTAGAAAGGTCGATCTTTTTTTACCCCTTAAGTGAAATTTAGCCTCAGAATAGCTAGTGTTCTGTCGCACATTCTTCTTTTTACCCTGTAGCCGACACTACATTACTTTGCGAGTGCGTTGACTTGGCCATCTAGTATATCATATTCGATCTTTCCGCATTACATCCCTTACACTTGGGTTCCTAACACTCAAAAACTGAATTTCTGCATTCTATGGCGAAGAAAACCTGGCGAAGTTAATAGTTGAGTATCTTTACAACATGTAAATGTAGAACTTGATTTGTATCATTTGTGTCACATAAAGAAAGAACATAATTAGGAGACTTGACTTGCTAGTTGATGGTTGCAGTAGTCTTTGCGGGGCCTTGTGATGGGAGTCGTAGATATCATAATTGGGAGGGTAGGGCTATCCTCTAGACCTCGCGGGATGATGTATCTTGACGTAGTCTGAGTAGCTTCCTTTGCAATTTTGAATTTAGGTAGAATCTGGGGTCTGGATCCCTGAATGGCTAGTATTTCTGCATCTCCTGACTGGATAACGTATGTGCCATGGAATATTTGTTGAGGCCTCTTATAAGGAGCTGCTGCTGATGTCCTACTTTTGGATTCACGCAGGTAACACGGGAGTCGGTTTTACTCCACATATAATTTCTGTAGCTGCCGGCGAGGTATGCAAGCACTCTAGTGATAATGTTTTTCTTGGCCTGTACATGTCCCCAACATCTTCCACCTTTGAAATCCATTTCTTACGTAGTATATAATATGGATTTGAAATTGGGCTGACTCATATTTCTGGTAATACAGCCATCATCAACTTTCCTTCCTTAATTAGGTGATTTTCTCATAAGAATAATTACTACCATGCACGTTGCATGTCAGACGAGGCTTATTTTCCAGGACAGTGGACTTGATTCATACATGTATAATAATCAAAGAGTAGTATATGGCAATGTTCTGTGTGGTGTACTTTTGGCCAGCCAGTGATGAAATCTAATATTTATTCGGTCTTAGAAAAGTATCTTCATTCTATCTATCTATTCTACAGGATGTTGCCCTCAAAATTAACATGTTCATGCAACAAAGTAAGAGTGAGACGTGCATTTTGTCTGCATCTGGTGTAATCGCTAGTGCATCGATTCGCCAGCCAGCGACACAAGGAGGCAACATCACTTATCAGGTAGCTCCTTGTGGTCCTTTTAGTTCTTGCCAGAACTTCACTAATCCATGTCCATCTGTATGTGAGCTTAATGTGCGTCAGTGCGTCAATATGAGAGTTAGAATGAGGCCATGTCAAATAAAACTATATCTCTGATATCTGCTGGTTATGTTGATTTCTAGTTGGATTTTGATTTTTGAAATAAAGCCATTTCCTTAAAAGCTTTTGCTTACTATAAAATAGTAATACAGGAGAAAAGTAATAGTCTTTAGTAGCGATTGGGCTTCAATTGTCTCCCACAATCTCTGTCGGTTCACTGGTTAGTATAGCACATGGCACTTTGACTTTTAGCAGAACAACGCTTGTTCAAAACTTTCCATTTCATGAAATAGTTCTTACCTTTTGGGTTGTTAAACATGTCATTAGATACCAATTTCACTGCCCAGTATAGATTCAGGTTATAACATTTACCCTGGTGGAATTGTGAATTTATCTTGTCTGGCATCCAAATCGGGGGTCCTTAACTATCATTCACATAACCACATTTGATAGTGTCAGGAAAAATGAAAAGAAGTGGTCCTGGAATCATAGTTCCTTTTGTTCGTCAATTTTTCTAATCATAGAATGTCTGGAGAATGAAAAAATCAAAAATACGGTGATGCAGTACCGCCCAAAATTGAGGTCAAACTTTATTTCCTTGACTTCTCGGATACCCTTCTTTTCTTTGGTGATCAGTTCCATGTTAACTTTAGAATACACAATAATTCTTACAAGATTGACTTAAGCCTTGTTTAGATGGGTGGATGTTGACACAAACTGGATGTAGCTGCTGATGCCGAGTCATAAGAAGTTGATGATGTACCTGATGATATCTTGATGCTCTCCTGCAGGGTCGGTTCGAGATCATCTCACTGGGTGGATCTTACATAAGGTCTGAAACTGGAGGTAGAACTGGTGGGCTTAGTGTGTGTCTGTCTAGAACCGATGGTCATATTATTGGGGGAGGACTTTGTGGACCTCTAATTGCCGCGGGCAATGTTCAGGTATATGAACCACTATATTTGCAACTAACTAACTGGTCTGTCTGTCTGGCTGGTTCTTTGCTTTTGTGTGTCGGAAGAATTGTTTTTGGAAACCACAGTTGAGTTTCTTTCTCCGCAGGTGATTGTAGGAACATTCACCCTTGATAACAAGAAAGATGGTGGTGGTACTAGTAGTATGAGACCAATAGATGCTGCTTCTACTGTTGGTAAGTTGCCATCCCCGGTTGGTGGGGGACCATCCTTATCTGGTATGAGCTTCCCTTCCCCAGTTGAATCTACTGGGAGGAATCCAGTCCGTGAGAATGATGACAACCATCAAAACATGGGAGGAGGCGCACCTTTCATGATTCACAACAGGGCGCCGAGTATGCACCACATGGCATTGGATTGGAGGAGTGGCCCGGATCCTAGGGCTGGCAGCACTGGTTATGACTTGACAGGTGCTGATGATGACTCTTCCCTTATGTTGAATTCTTAATAGTTTTGAGTGAGATAGATATAGAGAGATTGGGACTGAGATGTAAAATGTTTATTTTTTGGGGGTTTGGTTTCAGGAAGAACAGGAGGTCTTGGAGGGCACCGGTCGCCTGAAAATGGCGACTATGATCAAGTTCCAGATTAGGTTTTTGAGGAAGTTGTGCTTCTTTTCTGACTGCTGCCCTTTCTGCTGTCTTCGTCCTCTTCTTTCATCTTTCTTTTCTCCTTATATAGGTACTCTGACATGCGAAAGCACATGTACAACCTTTTGAATCCTTTGAGGAACCCCCAAATCTACCATTTCTAGAGAAGAAAGTTACAATGCTTTATCTTGAGAAACAAATATTGGCACTTTATTGCTCAATTTTGATCCTCTCATGTTATTCCTAAATGTGTACAGAAGCGTACCCCAGGGCATATGAAACATAGCATACTGTAGCGCACACCTGATGTTTGATGAAATATCAAGGTGGAGTCTTTCTTTCACAGATGTGTCAATACGATAGAAACTCTGGTCAGAGGAATGCGTCGAACTGGTCGAAGATCTAAGCCGGAGCAGTCAAGCAGCTGGGGCTATTGGCCGTGAAGGCTAGCTGGAGGAGTAGCAACAGCGGCAAGCTATCAAAATTGAACTAAAATGTAATAACCCTAATATGGCGACCAAACATCGAGAGGGAAAAAGCGAGCACAAACAAATGAAGCGAGGAGGTTTAGGCATTTAGCAAATGTATTCCACCAAAAGTTTGAGCCAAAAAGAAGGAAAATGCAACGAGCAGATATAACTTCAAATTCTTGATTGTCATACCTTCTTTGCAAGGTGCAAGAGTCGCAAAATGAGGCCGACGCACGCCATAGCTGAATTGCTTCCCCAGAATGGCGACTTACCTTTGTTTTTTCCCCCCTTGTCAGGGGTGGCAAAACGTAATGGGTCCATAAAAATTACATTAAGCAGCAGCTCTAAGGGTCCTCACAAAATATCCATAGTTTTTTATAGGAGAAATGATAGGAATAAAATAGTTTGAAACCTTTCCTCAAAAACCCCCAAAGCAAATATTTAGTGAAGCCACCTTATAACTATAAAGAAGAGAGTGCCACTTTATGGGCTCAGTTCGCGGAACCGCCCTAAAAATTGTACAAGAAGAAAACGAAACAATTAACTGAAGACACTCTTGAAGCACATGACCGCCTAATGAATCTTCTACTGATTGACGAACCAGTTGACAGATTACTATTTCAGAATGACCTTCAACGATGACATGGGGTAGAATCTTGAAAATCGCTAGCTTCCCTTACACTAAGCAGCTCAGCAAGATATCCATACTTTACTTACAAGTTACAACTAATCATCAAAATTGGCAAACTATTGAAGAAGTATCTAAATAACAAACAAATATATACAATTGAAAAGTTGCCAAAACAGAACATATATTAGCTCGACTAGTAATCACATTCTTTGCTTCTGAATGAATCCTGATTATCGACGGAATAGAAAATAATATCAACACATAATCAAATTATTTTACCGTTACTTAAACAATAAATTAACATATATATCACATGTTTCAATATACTTTTTCTTTTTACTTTCCTTTATTAAAATTTTGTTCACTACGCTCCAAATTTTCCTTGCCCACCATTTTCCTCAACACATAATCAGAACTTGACCCAATCTGCGATATCAGCAGACTCTAGAAGAGGAAATGATATTGCTTTCCTTTAGTCCCTCCAATAATTTGAGGCAATCTTCCCCTGGAGATCGGCAAAATCGAACCTGCCCCTTTTGCAAGATCTGCAGTGGCGAGAGCTCCGGGAGAGGATTCTTGCCTCATTCAGAAAATGCTTTCCAGGATAAAACCTGTCTCGTGTCAACAACGTGGGAGTGCTCTCCCCATCACAAGTCCAGCTTCTCCTCTCAAAGTCGGAAGTCCTCTGCTCCAGCTTAGACGCCGTATCCGCGATTCTTTCTCCGAAACCATTTCTGCAGGAAATTAAACTGATCTGAGGTATGAAAAGTGTCGGGTAGTAAAAGTTCTCTCTCAGCTTGCCACTTGTGTTTGATCGGTAAAAGAAAAGGGAACTGCAGGAAATCGAGAGAGAAAAGAAAGGGAAAAAAAGTTTTACTATATCAGAAGCTTTGAAAGCTCTGTCTATCAGACCTCATATGGCCTGCTTAGGCACCCGATTTCGGACCTCTCCTCTTATTCAAAACCTCTGAGGGTTGTGAAAACGCTCGAATCATTCCGACAAAGAGCTGTCTGGTTGTTTATTGAGCTAAGGGATTAGGATCGTTTAATTTTACTTAAATATTTCTTTCACCTCCAATTAACGGATGGGAATACTTTGTTGGAATTGTCGTGGTATCGGCCCCATCACTGCAACGAGATCATTGAAAGAGATTGTGAACCGATTTGCTCCATATTTATTGTTTCTGAGTGAAACCAAAAATAAAGATGATGAAGTTAAAAAGACAATTCAATAAATTGGTTTTAAGGAGGTTGAGTTAGTGAGCGTCGTAGGATCATCAGGTGGACTAGCGGTAGCTTGGAAACCCGACGTCCAATGTTCTATTATTGGAAGGGATCGCCATTTCTTTCAGATAGAATGTCAACATCCTGAGTTGGGGATCGCCTCCTTTATTTTTGTTCATCTTAGTTGTGAGACAAGAAGCAGGGAGTCCCAATTGAATGGCATTTCCGATCTAGTCATTGCTTGCTCCCATCGAATCTGCGTGCTAGGGGATTTCAACTGTATCCTCCAGTCATATGAAAAGACAGGGGGTAGGAGCCCTGCCTTTATAACTCTTGACCAGCTAAGAGATTTCTGCTCTCAAGCTGGGTTACAGGATATGGGTTTTTGTGGTCCTCAGTACACTTGGTCTAATCGTCAATCGGCGGAGGACCACATTATGGCCAGACTCGATAGAGTTCTTGGATCCTCCCTCGTTCTCAACACTTGGCCTCAAGCTCAAGTAACTCACTTAACGGACTCGGGATCTTATCATCGAATGATCATTTTACATCTCGAATCTCAAATTAAATTGGGTAGGAGTCGCTTTCAATTTGATCGTCGCTGGACAAGAAATTCTGAAACCAAAGAAAAAGTGCTTGGAAATTGGTGGGACCAAGTAAATGGTACAAGACAATTTAAGTTCTTTACCCAATTAAAAGGTGCTCGATATAACCTTGTTGAGTGGATGTCTAAAGGAACCACCAACTCAGCCCGTCAGATTAAAGAAATAAGAGATGCTATTGACAAAGCTCGAGATGCCCCCTCAGTGGATTGAGATTTGATCAGATCACTAGAAACCCAGTTAACCTTAGCCTATCTACAAGAGGAGATTTTCTGGAAACAAAAATCGAGAATGACTTATCTTCAGTTAAGGGACTTAAATACTCATTTCTTCCACCAATCCACTATTCAAAGAAGGAGGAAAAACATTATTAAAATTCTTAAAGACGATAACGGGAATCCCCATTTAGATGAACAAAGTAAAGCCTCAATATCTGTAGGCTTTTTTGTCCACCTTTTCGCATCAAATTGAGTATATTCACTTCTTATGGTGGCTAACCTAGGTCTTGTCAGTAAAGTGGATTCCTTCATGAACTCCTCCTTAACAACCCTGGTTTCTCGAGAGGAAATTAAGAGAGTTACTTTCCCTATTGGAGCTTATCAGGCTCCGGGTATAGATGGCTTCACCGGAATTTTTTTATGTGAGGCCATTAAAGCTTTCTTCCACTCAGGAAGACTCCTCCATAATTTCAATCACACTCTAATTACCCTCCTGATTCCCAAAGTTCCGAACGCCGTATACATGAGACAAATGCGACCTATAGGACTATGTCAAGTTTTCTACAAAATTATTGCAAAAATCATGGCGGACAGACTAAGCCATATATTACCATTCATAGTGGGTCCTAATCAAAATGATTTTGTAAAAGGTAGATCTATTGTTGAAAATATCTTGATTGGTCAAGAAGTAATGCAATTCCTTAAGACGAAAGACTATGGAAAAGAAAAATGGATGGCGCTAAAACTTGACATGGAGAAAGCCTATGAGTGTAGAATGGGAATTTCTAATTAATGTAATGTAAGTATTGGGATTCAGTGATCAATGGATTAAATGGATCTGCTCTTGTATCACTACTGTCTCCTTCTCGATAATCTTGAATGGCTCAACTCACGGGTTTTTCAAACCTCAGAGGGAACTAAGTCAAGGGTGTCCTCTCTCTCCATTATTATTTGCCATCTACACAGAGGCCTTTTTGGCTATGATCCAAGCCGATATCTCAAACTATTCTCTCCATGGGCTCCGCGTTCATAAGGAGGCTCCCATGACCTCTCACCTCTTTTTTGCTGATGACTCATATCTCTTTCTTAGAGCCTTAAGACCAGAAATAAAAAATTTGTTGGGATTACTGCAATCATATGAAGCTGCAAGCGGTCAACGAGTTAACCTCCAGAAATCGGCCGTTACCTTTAGTTCCAATATCTCTGAACAAGAGGCTACAGAATTAGCAAATGCTCTGGGAGTCGCCAAAATAGGGACCCATGATCGATATCTAGGACTTCCATCAAGAATCCATCGATCTAAAGTCCTTACCTTTCGGTATATTGATGACTCTTTAGCGGCTCGGATCCAGAACTGGAAATCTAAACATATGTCATTGGCAGCCGAAGAAGTGGTGATAAAATCGATAGGAACAGCCACACCAATCTATACCATGTCATGTTTCCGCATCCCTTCTACCCAATGCCGAAGACTTAATAGTCAATTGGCCCGATTTTGGTGGGCTAACCAAGACAAAGACAAAGGAATGCATTGGCTTTCATGGCCTGAAGTATGTAATAGTAAATTTGAGGGAGGTATGGGATTCAGAGACTTCGATCGATTTAACATAGCCATGTTAGCTAAACAAGCCTGGAAACTACTAATAGATCCTGATAATACTCTGGCAAAAATATATAAAGCCCGGTATCACCCTAATAACCACTTCCTAAATACGAGAGCTGGATCCCGTCCTTCTTGGGCTGGGCAAGGTATCCTTGAAGGGAGGAACCTCCTTAAAAAGGGCCTGCGATGGCAAGTGGGATCAGGGTCCTCAATATACATTCTACAGGATCCGTGGATACCTTCAGATCCACCCTCCTACCCAATCTTGAAGACATGTATGACCTTAGAAGGTCTAGTAGTTACCTACCTTATCGATTCAATAACGTTTACTTGGAACTCTAACAAGATTCGATCTTTATTATACCCAACTTATGCCGAACTAATTTTGTCCTTACCTCTTCCCTCATATATGAGGGAAGATAGACTCATCTGGCACTATGATAAATCTGGTCAATATACAGTGAAATCGGGGTACCACCTTTTAACAAATGAAATTAACCCATTTCATAATAGTATACCTGACTACTTGGACACAAAATTTTGGAAATCATTATGGAGTATACCAGTGCCACCAAAACTGAAATTCTTCCTTTGGAGGATAGTTTGGGGGTTCCTTCCTGTTCGCAAAATACTGCAAATTCAAAATTGACTACTTCTTGCGAATGTCCAGTGTGTTGTGAGCCAACCGAGGACATTAATCATTGCTTTTTTTAATGTAGGATTGCAAAAGAGTTATGGATTATGGCTGGATTGGAACATCGTAGAAACTCAATGCGCTCCTTCCAACTAGATCTGGCATGGAAAAATCTATTCTGTGCTACTCACATCTCCAAGATCGAGATTGCCGATACAGTTTTCCTATTCTGGCGAATATGGAAAGGAAGATGCAAAACTACTTATGCTTTAGTATTACTTCAAGCTCGAGTTTTGTTCAGACAACTAACAACGCATATAGAGGAATGGCGAACGGCGGAGGGACAGAAAGCTCTGCAACCCACAGGTGTTCAGAGATCATCGGCGAACCCTAACAATCAAATAGGATCTCGAAGGAG